TTCAGCAGATTAATAATTAAATGGCATTATTTAATTCCATTTTCAGCTAAGTAAAGACAAAACAGTTTTACTCTGGGAACTCTAACTGAGTTATAGACTATCTCTAATGCATTTTCCCTTAGCAACTGCAAACAAGAATGTAGATGGTTTATGATGCCACTGGATCATGCCATTAAGATCCACTTTTCTTCCAGAAGCTGCAATATTTTGTCTCCAGAATAAATTATTCCAATTAAAAAAACCAACCAAACAACAACAAAAAACCCCAAACCACAACAAAACCCCATTAGAGTACAGCCATTAGATTGCTGCCAAGAGAAGTTTCAGAATACAAATCCAAGACAATGCACATATGCCGTGACAGGATATTTTAAAATGAAATACTGGTAAGAGAGAGAGATTTTTTGAAAATCCACAAAAACTGATTTATAACATCTTGCTTCTGTTAGATAATAAAAATGTGTGCTGTAGGAATATGAAAAACCAAAGATAAGCTTATAGAAAGACTAATGCAAAACACATCTGGAACAAGAGCACGTCTTGCTATAGCACTGTAGCTTGTTAGAGAACAGAAAGTTTGTACCATCAGTGCGTATCCATGAAAATGTATACCTCACAATAGATTTACCTTTTCAATATCTTCAGCACTATCATTCTGTCCATTTCCATAAAGTTGGGCATAAAGTCTCCAGATCTCCCCATCATTTGTCACTCGTGAAGTCACTCTGCCCAAGAGCTCCTGCAGTTTCCCCTTCAGTCCACTCGCTGCCTCTCCAGTGCGATCTGCCATACCATCCACTACCGCTCTGACCAGAATAGCCAGCACCTTAAAAAAGCAGCAGGAAAGAGTTTTTATTTCAGATCAAATCAACATCAGTATACATAATGATATCTGTAATATTTGGTCTCTATTTATGATTTGGTAAGATACAAATGTAGTACCATATGACCAGTATAGAGTTTACTGACAAATATATTATTACGGGAGTAATTCAACTAAGTTAAACCTCATCTATAAGATTCTATGGCTGGTGAAGATAAGTAAAGATAAAGAGGACAAAGAGCTAAGACAGAAATTTGTGTTACCAGCACAGGCTACCGTTAAAGAGAATGGTACAGGAAATTGAGGCAGTACCCTGAAGATATTTTCACCTTGTAATAATATCAGCAAACAGGCTGAACTTGTTTAATTCAGGTAATGGAAGACACTGCTGTTTACAGGACCTGTGTTTAATTTAAATTAACAACTGAAATGAAAAGAAATAATTAAAAAAGGCCAATCATCTGCAAGATGTCCCATACATAAACACACATGCCCCACCAGGACCACAACACTGTAGCTGACAAACACACTCATCTTTACCACATTTAAGACTATTAAGACTAGACACTTTTTAGTGCAAAGAGAGTTGAAGACTTTTTATCAAACCTAAATGATTTTTTTCATATAGAATGTTATCCTCTGAAGGTTGGCTTTATAGTACTAAATAGTGAACTTACATACCATTTGTTATTAGAAAGTAATCTGAAAAAAAGTGTTAAACATTCCCACCCCCCATGAACAAATGAGATGCTTCCACAACCATAATTATTTCTGTCTGTTCTCTCTCTTCATCACTGGACTCAAACTCCCAAGATCCAGGAAATCTACTTTTAAGCATTTTATGGGATAAGAAAAGAAACATACTCCTGGGATCAATGCCCAGCACCTTACCTGGTGCTACAAACTCCCTAACAGCTCATAAGCTGTTCAACCAGATCCATTTATTTTGCAAAGGCTTTTGGAAGTGTTTCACTACTCTGCTTAAGGGATTCTTTGGCTCACCTTTCAGATTCACCTTGCTATTTTCGCTAAGCATACAGAATGCTGCTAGGATCAGAACCTGGTTTTAGGCAAGGTAGCATCCCAGCTGAAGCTGTTAAAGTAGGCTCTCTGAATTTTATCCTGAGCGTACACTTACAAACACAGAAAATAACTGAGCTTAACTGAACGACACTGAAAGATGAGCAAAATACCTCCTTTATTTTTCTTTGTTCTAGATTATTAGGAATCAGTGTTCTGACTGTAATGCATTCAGTCTGTGAAACATAATTCACTTTCAAAGGCTCATTTGTGGAATTTTCAAACATGAGAAAAGCTTACCTTTCTTTAAACTAAATAATTTCTATTATTTCTGATACTAAGATATACAGGAACAATATAGAAAGATAGGGTTATGGACTGTGTTTTATTTAACAACAGATCTTAAAACTGCAAGGCTCATATTTGTCCTTCCACAAAGTCTAAGGCAACCAGGATGCAAAGGTTTTCCTTTTTGTCCATTTTTATTTTAAATATTTAGTTTTACAGTCCAGATCTCAAAAAATTAAATGACTTGCCTACATAACTTCATTGGTATGTGTGCTATCGTTACTGATACCACTATCAGCAGAAATCTCTCTTTGTCTTACAAGAAAAATTAATGAACATATAGGATGACTTAACATGAAAACTTCCCCACCTGTGTATCCTTGTACTTTTCTCTTAAGTCCATGAGCCGGTGATAAGCTTTAATTGCTTCTGAAAACTCTCCAACATCTGTACTGGTGAGAAGATAGTTCTCCCATATTTGCCAGTGCTCATAGTTGCACTTGAGAGCTTCTTGGAGGGTTCGAAATGCTTTGATTCTACTCAGTGATAAAAAAGAGGAATAGAAAAGAAGATTGTATCTTAAAGATCTAATATAGAAGATTTCTGTATTTAAATCAGTTGGCATTGTATCAACTAAAAAGCTGCTTATTTTAAAGTATCAGGTTTAGAAAACAGTGCAATATAAAAGCTATTGTTCATAATTTACAATTCTGATAATTCCTTAATCAATCTTGCCAATTACTTTCTAATCAGTTCACTCCACAGTGCACACTGTAGAGTCTGAACTAAGTAATTTCTGTTTCCCACCTATGTCAGTATTTTCTTTTCTGAATTTTTAACTGGAACTATGAGAAAACTATCTTACTCATGCTGCAGTTGTAACATACATTAAAAAATTAAAAATCCCTGAGTTCATGGCAGATGCAGAATGATATTGACTCATTTCATCACACAGAGGAAGGTTACTTAACAATAACAGCTTTTTGTGATCTATTTTAAACATTCGCACGTGGTAAACTTGAATACCCATTGCACAGAAGCCCAGCATTTTCAACCATTTTTTTTAATGTCAGCTGGAAGCTTTACTTACACTGTTTCCTGACACTACGTGGCTCAGTACAAGTGTGTCAAGAGTGGTCCCAACCACTACTAGGATACTTCACCAAAGGTGCTGCGCTATGAACTATCTCATAGCGGCAGGAGAAAGTGTTGTGGAATAAAAGTGGACAGAATAATTCCTATAAAGTTACTGTCAAGTCAGGAAGAATTTTAATTTTTTTTCATATGGATCCACTGCAGGCAACTCTTTACCATTCCCTCACTCAAGGAGAGAAGCAACGGCATCCTCTGTAAGGAACATAAGACAGTTTGGCCAAATCAAGAACATGGGCTGAAAGCAGCTGACTACAGCTTAGAGGCATGACCTCCTGCAGAACATGCAACCACTGCTGCCAGAGAGGAGGCAGAAGTCTCAATGCAATCTGAAGCATATGTTGGTAAGGTCTGGGTGCCTACTGTTTAAAGCTTTAAACACACTGCCAAAAGTTTCAATAAATTTGAAACTTTAAAAAAAGCTTTGCTAGAGAATCAGAATTATATGGTTCTTAGGACTTTAAGAGCTTGAAGCTTACTGTCAGCTGGACAGTTATGATATGTAGAAAAAACACAAAGGAATAAATTCCTTGAAATGAAAACCTGAAACAGAGTTTTCCCAGGCTGGTAAAAATCTTCTTAATAAACATCTTATAAAGATGGCTTGTTATCAAAATTTGTGTTTCACTTGCTCTATTGCTTGAGTAAGTTGCTAAAAGAGCTGTCTCTAAAGAAAGACATCTCACTGAAATTGTTGGTTGAGTTTCAAAGAGAGGGTCCAGCAGAGTGTAAGTACCCCAGCCAGGAAAACGGAACTTCTAACTAGTGAATCAGGTCATTAAAAGTTTGGAGTGGCTGGGTCAGGGAAAAATATAAATAACTACCAATCTAAGCCCATACTATTAAAAGAGTTACCAAATACACGTGAAGAGAGCCGACTGATAGAGCAAAGTTATTGAAGGAAAACAGGTCATTTAGCAGAACAGCCCACAGGCAGGATCTTCCCATGTTCAAACCCCTTTTATCTCTCTTCTGAGATATGTGATACTGCTGAGTAAATGTACTAACAGCTGGGTCTCCTCCACTGTTAACAGTCTTACTAAGGGATTTCAGATCCCAATTTCGATAGATGATTTCAGAAAAGAACAGACACCTGCTCCTTCCTCTGTGGATTTTACTACAATGGAAGCTGGGTTATGCCACAGCTCTCAGACAGGCTGGAAGATGTTCTGTCTGACTGATGCACCCCAATCGCCTTGTGAAACTGTTTCTGAAACTGCTCTTCAACATCTGCAGGATTAGCCTTCATGATCTCCCCCCCATCTTCTCAAAAAAGTAAGGAAGTTATCAGGAGGGCAGATGCCAAGCAGATGGAACTGTGAAATGTAGACAAGATACCAGAGGGATGGGATGGAAATCTTATTCCCCAAATCATCGCTCTTGCTATGCTAATAAAATCCTCTAGGTTCTCAAAACAAATCCCCTCTGTATTCAATAAATCATATAATAATGGAGTGTCCTTAACCAGGACAACATTTAAACCAATTCATATCCAAACGTGAAGCAGGAGGCAGTACCAGTGCATCATCCTGTCTTGGAAACCAGGAACCTTTCACCCAAAGGACAGAAGGCCAGTCCTAGTTTGTTCTGAGAAATATGAGAACTAGATTTCCAAGGCTGCCTGGCATTCAGGGATGTTTTTCTGGTAAACTGAAGAGTAGAGTGTGTTTTCATCACAATTAATTTTTCTGGCAGAAATTCAAAATACACAAAACTTGTGGACTCTTAAAAAGCAAACAAATCCAGAAAAACCCAAAACCCCTTTCATTTGGGTGTCAGCAAGTTGCTTGCACGCATTTTTCAAAAAGACTTACACATTTTATATTTGTCTGTTTTTGAGACCCTGCTAAGCCTCACCCAAATGCACAATCCTTGGGTGGGACTCATTTAAGAGCCTGGTTGGAGTAAAGCTTGATTTTGAAGAGGGAGCAAAAGAAAACAATTAACTTAAACATCTTATTTTTGTTTTCCTTTTTGTAATCCTCTCCCCACTATTTTTTTTCTTTTTTGCTAGCAGGCTTGAAAAATAGGAAGTTACACTTTTACTACCGCTTGCCCCCCCAAAATAAATTATACTATCTGCTACAGATATCCTCTGTTTTGAGAGTGGATTAAGCTAACTCACCACAGGCTTGATGTCTAAGTGACTACACAAATAATCAAAGTTGCTATTCCACAGCAAATACCGGCCACGCTCAGCTATGAGCATGTAGTATTGACTTAAGATTTCCTGTACACATATTCCTCTCCCACGTGATTCCTGGGGAAAAAAAAAGCTGAGAAACATGCTCCCCTTACTGCCTTTGATACTATATCAGATAGGTCACAAGTTTTGTATGTATTTAGCATGTTAAATCACAAGAGGAGATTAATAATATTAAATGAAACCAATGAAGTGAAACTAATCACTCAGTAGTTTCTCAGCCTTGTACATGAACAGACAGAAAAATTATTTTGATTGAAGATACTTCTATGGAACAAGCATAAGCCAGTCCACTGAGCATCTGACATACCCTTTTGAACTCTATGCAAAAGAAGGAGCAATCTGTCACACGCAGTCCAAGACAATTGGGGCATTCTCAAGGCACTGCTGAAGATGAAAGGAACTACTGAAAAGTTAAAACAAGTTCTTGATTTCTATTACTTTTTAGTCTTGAGTAGTTATCCTAACCTTCATTTGCTCCTCCCTCCTGCTCCCATTAGCATATCAAACCACCTCTTTAATACATTCATTATATTACTTCCCACATTTCCTTTGTATGTTTATCAATTTACGCTTTTATGTAAATTTACTGTTATTTTTGTATTTTTTTTTTAGTTTGCCTCTTGACTGCATATCCATATAAATTGATTGCACATTTTGAGTAATTTTAAAAAAAAACTTTATCTCATCCTTTTGTTTACTTTTCTGGGGACAAGTTCTAATGTGAAAATTCTTCTTAAATATTAAGTTCTTTCAGGTATTCTGTGTCTACAAGTAACTTTTATTACATTGAGTTGAAATAGAAAACAAGGAAGGCAGTCCATTTAGGTTAAAGCTTCTTGTACTAATGGTTAATTTGGAAGGAAAAGAACAAGTGAGCTAGTATGTGGGCAGATCTCCATCTGCTTTCATAATATAAATAAACTGCCTGTCTTTCCCTTAAATCTACTGAGATTAATGTAGTCTGAATTGACATCGGTCTGATTATATTGTTTGCTTGATATGGATGTATCTTTTTATCTTCATAGTCAAATTTGTTTCCAACCTTAATATGAATGTTTTACACTGGTTGTACTTACTACATCATGAACACTTAACAAGAAAAAAGTGTAGAGTGAGAGGTTGCTACTTTTATAAAGCTTATGAAACACTATTTCCTGCAAAATGAAATAAGTTATCAATGATCCAACCTTGGACGAAGAACTGAAGGGATAAGAACTACGAAATAGGAGGTAATCACATTATAAGAATAAAAAACTCAATGTCAAATAAAGGAAATCCCAATTATTTATTTGTGAAGCAGTATCTTCCAATTCTTTTGAAATACTTACTTCTGTTTTAATCTGATATAAGCAGTCGATAAATTGTTCCAGGCCTCAGCATTCTGTAATGATGACAGAAGTACCAAAAAAATTATTCACTTATATTACATTTGTTTGATAAAAATACATAAATGAAACTACTGTGAAATATCATCGATTTTGCTAATCACACATACTAAAACATATTTTATACAAGGCAGTCAAAATACTACATTGAAATAGAAAATATTTTATTAAAATAGAAATACTTAAATATTTCTGACTACAGCAACAATCAGGTATATAGATTATCCATTAACTGCTTTCTGGTTGGATTATACTGCCGGCTCTTGCCTTCAGTTTCAGCTGTAAACAGGCATCCTCTTCTGGATGCAGCTGGGATGGCTGGAGAGGTCAGCGCTCCCAGCAGCTCATCACTTCTCACTAGCCAGAAGCTACGTACTTTCACCATTCTGTTACTGGAAAAAATTATCTGAATGTCCCCTAATGCACCTCAGGCAAAGCTAACAGGGTTAGTTCCCAACAGGGTTTATCAACCGTTTTAGCTGAAAAGGATTACGGAGCTCAGACAATCTTTCCTCTGGTAAAACCAGCAGAGGAAGGGTGATTACTGCCCACCGCCTTATGCTCCTGTAAATTTGAAGCCCCACCACTGAATTCAGCAAAGTGACAACTAGGATAATTGAAGAACAGAACCTGGGTATTATGGTGAAATATACTTTGGTACTGAAGGCTAGCCTCAGGCTTAAGGAGCATTTAGATCATCTTGAGAAACCTTTTTGGGGATTAATTCATTAAAATAGTAATTACATTGCTGCAGATCCTTGTATAAAGATGGGTTTCACTTCCATAACTTAGACCCAGCCCACCATCCGTTGCTCACAAAAGAAATACCACTTAACCCACTGAGAAGTCAGTTGGCTCGTTCATACGAATACAATGAAGTCCCAGACAGAGAAGTGAAAATTTTTCTATCTACTTAGAAGTAAATCTACAGTACTGAAACAAACAAATATCAATAAAGTAAAATTTCCAGTTAAATACAGGGTTGTCTGTATGTACCCTTTTTTCAAGTAAGTTATTTAATTTTATTAATAAAGAAAAAAGAATACTCTGTCACCTTTCATTGCTCTCCCATTCTGTTCCACAAGAGAGAAGAATGAATAATGTTTTCTATCAAGTAGGTGACGCTAACTCTAAGCGAGCAGCACGCTGGCACTCAGGCCTTTTGACAAAAGTATGACCAGTGCATTCCCAAGAAGCAACGCAGCTGATGCCTCTGCTCTCTCCATGCACAGTCACACTCACATGGCAATACTGTACACATGCTTGCTCCGTGCATCCTGAACAACTGGCTAACAAACTCCACTAAATCGTTACAAATTTACCTGTCATGCAAACACTTATTTGACTTTTTTTTCCAGGATAATTGGATTACTTAGAGGACTAAGTATTTTAATTTATTTTTTTGTTTTAATCTCTCTTTAGTACTCCCCACAGTCTGCTCCTTCCCTATTGTCTGTTTTAGCTATGTACTCAGGCGTAAAGGAATTTCTGCTCAAACATATCTTAACATTTACACACACATACTTGGACGAATTTAAGTATTGGGCAAGTATTTTTATGATGCCTCATGACAAAAACATATCCTTCATGCATAAGTTTAATTTATTCAGAGGGCTGAGGTTTAAACAAGTTTTTCATTATTGCTTTGTTTGTTTATAGTGAAAACATCCTTGTTGCTTTTAGATAAGCCATCGTAATCGCTTGTTGAAAAGTACGTACATCTGGTTCCAATGTCACACAGCGCTGAAATGCTTTGGCAGCACCTTCGTAGCCTTCTAAAGCAATGTATGCGCAGCCCAAGGAAAACCATACACCTAGCTGGAGAGAAAAAATTGGTAACGTGTGTGTATATATATATACACACATACATATTTTAGCACAAAAGAAATAATTTTACCTCAAATACACACTACTCGTGTTGATCTTACCTGATTTTCAGCTATCATAACAGTATTGCATTGTAATAAATAACACCCTTTATACAGAATATAGGAAAATTTAGGGTCAGAGTTTTAATAAATATAAACAAAGGTGTAAAGGCCACTTAACCATATGTGAAGTGTTTTTTAACAGTGCATCTTCATTGAGAGAAGAAAGCGATAGCTATTTAGAGGTTTGCATATTTTGCTTTAACTTGTGAAAAATCCACATTCCCCTAACAGTATAACAATCAGGTCAAATGGTGAATACTAACAAATGTATTTCAAGGAAATTACATTTTACAAGAAACATTTCTAATGTCTGAACATGAACAGTTCCAAATTATAGCTCTTTCTACTTGTCAGAATATCATCAGTCTTCTCTAGTTCATAATGCAATCTTTAGAGGTAGAAATGTACTTAAATAATGCCTTGTGTAGAGAACAGAATTTTACCAGTTCAATAACCTTGCATTGTAAATCTTTAGTTGTTACAACCAAATACCTCTCATCCATACAGATTCAAATAATATTAGATACTGGCATAAATTACAGCCAATTAAATATGTATTCTCGTAGCTCTTCAATAGCAAGTTCCTGCTTTGCCATACGGTTAATTCTTAAAGAGCTGCGAGTTAAGCAGTACGACCTTTTTGAAAACCTCTGTAATTCTGAAAAGTATTAAATCCCAAGTACATTCACACAACATTTTCTGACAGCATTATGCTGTTTAAATGTATGCTGTCAAAATCAAACAGAACACTTTGTAATGTGCTCAGAATCACTCCAGGTAGTACTACCTGCTGCAAAAAGCTCAGCCGTTCCTCCGTTCTAAATGCCAAGGTAAAGAACACAAATAGGTTTTCTTGGAAAATTTTTTCAGAGAAGGAAAAAGGTTGAGAAGACGAAGATGGAAAACCAGGTTACATTAATGCTAATTTCTATTTACATAGAACAACATATTCCTTTTCCAGATGTCTGATTAATCTTTATACCCTCTTGTGTTTTGAGTACTAGTTTTGAAGCAAACAATTCTGATAACTCAGGTTCTTTGCAGGAAACCATAGTGGCTATTTAAACACAAGAACGTTATGTTAAGAAACATTTGCAAATCAGGGATTTTACAGGGTTGAGGACAAAGCTGTTAGTTCATATGCAAGGAGCTTCCATCTCTACTGATTAATTGCAAACTCTGTAGCAGATATTTTTGCAGTTCTCTCTAGATCAGACTAATTTTTTTTGCCTGAGACCCAACTTAAAATCAATAACAAGATGTTTGCTACAACTGGATTGACCTGACTTCAAGTCCTTCAAGAACAAGGCAACTCATTTAATTGTTAAATTAACAGAGGACATTAAATTTAAGAGTCATTTAAAATGGAAAAGCTATGATAAAAACTAAAAGGGGCAGCCAAAAGAATAAAGGTCTGGAGAAGACTCGAAACAATTAAAGACAAGACATTTCACAGCTTGGAGCAACTGCATATTCTCTTTCAAAAAGGCTCCAAAAAGCCTAGACAATCACAACAGTTAAAACCAAAATAAAGGATATTATTAAGAATAAGAGGACATACTTCAAAAGCTGGTGTGCTACACAAATGAGAGAGCTACAAAAGAACAAGTCTGATAGGTTAAATAGAAAGGTGTGGTAGCTGTGTAAAAAAACCAAACACCCAAAACCAAACAAACAAAAAAACCCCAACGTTATTTGCCTTTGATCAACTATAGCAATGAAATGGTATTTTATCATCCCTTAGATAACTGGAAAGGGAGCACGAGTTTCTTCCACAATATAAGACAGACAGTGACTCTTTAGGACACAGTTTAAGAATGGACTTAAGCTATTTTGTGTGGAAAGAATGATAAGAATTCCCTTTTTATTGGGGAGGGAGCAAAATCTGCTGATCCTACTGGCTGGTATAACAACTGCTCTGAAGAAAGTGACTGACTGAAAGGTAACGGAAGGAAAACTTTGTGCAAAGTTCAAAAAAGACTTCTGTCAAAATTGTGGAACTAGGTTAAAGTTCTTTTCTGGAAATAAAAAAAAAATTATTGGCTAGAGGTTCAAATGTTGCTACTGATTGGAAAAACACATGGAAATAAGCTGTAGATTTTTATCCTTTTCAAAACTGATGACAGTGACCAGCAAAGGAAGACCATTTAGGCTTGGACTCTTTGTTAAAACTTGCCATCAGGGATTTCCAGGCAAGTCTTTAAGTCTAAATGATTATGAAATGCTTTAAGGTCTAAACAATTCTCTCATATTAGTGGGAATATGGTTCCAAAATAACCTAAATACAGTATAGCTGAATATTTCAAAAGAAAAAAACCCAAATCATATACCTGAAGAAACTTTTTTGCATTTTTAGAGGAATTTCTACTATTTGGATATGGCAAATACATATAGATTTTTTTTTTCAGAATCCAGTAAACTCTTCAGTACAATACTCTTAGGAGTACAGGACTGTTAGTTTAGAAACAATCTATACCCTGCAGTGCAAACTTTGTGGAGTTAGTAATTACGATGAAATTTTAAGAGCTCTCGTTGAGTGAAATCCTAGCTGAGTACCTTTTCATTACTCTCTTTTTGGCATCAGTTATCTCCCTTATAATTCAGTTTCTTTTGAACACACCACACTGACAGAATGTACTAGTTTTCAGTATAGAGATTTTTATAATCTTTTTCAATGAGAGACTCAACTCTTGTTTAAGTTACTTTTACTATTACAGGATGAAAAAGAATTGTTGAGTATAAGGCAGGGGGGTTGGAACTTGATGATCTTTCAGGTCCTTTCCAACCCTACCCATTCTATGATTGTCCAAGACTTTAAATTCCAGATGTATTTGATGGCAAGGTGACTTCTGAAGTGTGACTGTTTTCCCAAATCGGAGAGAGATCACTTGTCTTGCTTCACACCCAAGAAAATTAGCCTGAGAAGTTATAAGCCAAATAGTCTAGCACAAAAGAGAATGATTCTTCTCTTGCAGATTGTGACAGGGTAGAGAATGGTGTGGGCACAAAAAAAGGTGCTATGAACACACTATTTCTGGAAAATTCAAACGTGAAGCAACTGGATATAGAGAACCATACACTGTTCAGCACAAGGACTAACAAATCTGTAATTTAACAAGCCATAAGTTTTGTTATGCAGACTTTCACCACTGGAGAACTCACTGAATGAGCTCTTTGATCTCTGGAATTGTCTCAATCCAGCCTTGCAAGATTCTTGCAGTGGAAGTGCAAGAGAAATGCATCCGTCATCCACAAGGCATGTACTAGAACAAGTAGTTCTGTGAGTAGCAGTGCTAATAAAGACAAGTTTCAGATATATTTGAACTGTAAGACTGTCATTCCTTGGTGGATTCTCCAAAATCTAATGTGGTGGTTGGTTCATACTGCCAACACCTACCCTCAGAGACCTCCACCAAATTTGAACAGTTGGCCAAAGAGTACACAAGATTAAAGGAGGATTGACAGAAAACAGTTTTATCCATTAGATATTTTGGGGAGTCACTTGCTGCAGTCATTGTTTATCTGATAAATTATTCACAATTCCAGGAACAATTCATTAATGAATATTTTCCCTGTATTAAAGTCCTTGCACCCAGAATCACCTTTCTGTCTGCTCTTTGTCCACAAGACATGCTGCAGTAGGAAACAATTCATTTCTGTAGTGAAAGAATATGGATAGACTTCAGAAGACTGATATGTCAATCCACACTATCCATTTGCTCAATCTATTTGCTTGAAACAATTCATCTGACTCTTAAGCAACAAGAGGAGGAAATATTCCTTAAAAGTTTTCTACAGCAGAAGTCCAGCTAGTTAAGGGGAACTCAAAACAGCAGCTTCGGCAGTATTCTCTGGAGTGCAAAAAGGAATATCCTGCTTTCACATGGACCTGTAAATGGCTATGAAGAGCACAATCCATATGCATAAACCACAAAACTGTTTTAAATTCTCAAGACCTTTCATAGGGTGGACCTCATTGGGATGGGATATAGTGGCTGAGAAACTTAGACAAGATTACAAAAATTGTCTGCAAAAAAGCTTGCGGAGTATCTGTCAAAATACTTCACCAAGAGAACCCTTTTGACTGCAGCTTCAATTTTGATGCATTACTGTAATAAAAGCTACTGTCATCACCAGTGTGACACAATGCTTCTCAGTGACTCCAGAGCAGGACAGACCAGAACACTTGAAAAAGATTTCTGTGAAATACAGAGATCACAGTTTGTAACTCAAAACCAACAGACAAGGCAAAAGGATAATTTCATTAAAATCTATACAGCAGTCTTCCTCTGAGTATTTTTGCTTGACACTGGTTCATGATTTCTTTCATGATAATTATTCATTTTCAGTGGCTTGATCTCTTTGAAATTGAAGAGCTGTACAGGCAAAGAGTTTGCTGCACGCAAGGACCTGAACATAAAAGGATGTCTTCATTTCATTATGCTACCATTTTTAACAAGGCTTCCAAATACGTGGCAAATAAATAAATAAATAATAGTAATAAGCTGTCACTTTGACAATTGTGCACAGAATCGCCTTGTTAAAAAAGTGTGTCATCATTGAAAACTGAAAATACCATTGAAAACAAAGCCCTATGTGTATCATTTCCCAACCTGCATAGGGTTGATCTGCACGGAACGTTCAAAGCACTCCACACATTCCCTGAATTCCCGGTTGCGGAGATGGAGGAGGCCTTTGGAGCGCTGGGCGCGGGCGCTGCGATGCCTGGAGAGCTCCCAGGCCTTGTCATAGTACTGGTGGTCTTTGAGAACATCACCAAGCAAACAATATAATCGTGGTGTTTCCTTTCTCTCTAGCTCCCGCCTGAGTATTTCTTCTGCCTGGTAGAGAACAAAGAAAAAACAACACAGAATGGGACAATCTATTTTCAGTTAATCGTATACCTGAACAAATATCACTTTAGCAACTTGCAAACATCAGCTGAAGACTAAGAGGTAGGGACAGTAAGGAAACAGTACCTCGATCCAACACACCACCAAAGATAAAGTCTAGAGAGAATCTGTTGCAAATTTTTAAAAAACCCCCCACACTTCAACACCTATGGAATATGGTATCTGTTGGTTTAACGCACCAAGGGAAATGTACCCATTAGAAAAAGAAGCAACTTGCTCCTCATTTTATATCTTTGGTGTGTATTTTGTCCCAAGAGCAAATATCAGTCCTGGACATCAAACCTACACCTCATAGCAATGCAGTATCAGCACCACTAAGGTATGAGCAATCCTAATAGTTATCTATGTTTTCTGTGTAATTTCTATGTAATTCTATGTTTTCTGTGTAATTTCTATGTAATTTTTCTATGCAATCTGTGTTTTTAAAAATCCTAATAAATACTCTTGCAATGACTGTCATTCCTTTTTCCCCAATTGCTCTTTTCTGAAAATAGTTATTTCCATTCTATTATGTCTGAAGACACGTACACTTTCATTCTGTTGGTTCTGGAAATGCTACTCTTTTACATAAGATGAAGAAGTTGTAAATTTATGTAAATGTTTGAGATAAAATACTTTCAGAATAGATACAGCATTATGGAAAAGACAACCCAAGCTGGGTCCCCAGCCGTCTATTATGGGCTGTAATCAGCATTCAAAAACTCTTTATCTCAGGGTCACTATCTCACTCTAACAATAAAATTATTGTTTCTCTTTTAAACAAGAGATAGTCTGCTTTCTGTGGCTTTTTGAGAAGATAAATACACTGGACAGATGATCTGTTGTTCAGACTGAACTCTTACCTCAGTCCCCTACTGCAAAAATGTAACATACATAACTCAGTATAATTTTTCTATTAGAAAAGATTATTTGAAGCATCTAAACCACGAAAGATTTGACGCAGCCTGCCACAGAACTAAAGTTTGACATTGTAACACTACTCATTTTTCTATCATGGGTAGTTTATCTAAAAGGAAAGCTGAGTTCATCTCTGCTTTTAAATTATTACTGCTTTTCTTGTTTCTGTAACAACTATTTTCTTTGCCCTTCAGATGATCTCTAGAGAATCAGACTCTTCCTCCAATCAGTAAAATTAATTGATTCTGTCTGGAAATTATCTTTAGAAAAACGACTTGGCTTTCCTTTTTTTTGAAATATTTAATGGATAGTAATTTTAACACTTCATTCTTATTATCACTTTTGTTAAATAAAGTAGCAGCAAAAGTCTACAAATATTTGAAGTGCACAAATGTGAAGAAGGGATGGATTGTTTAGATTTCTAAAGGGATCAAACTAGCAAAAATGCAATCCCATTAAGAAGAAAATTATTGGCTGAATAGTAGGAAAATAACTTCATGGCGAGTGTTTTTAAGTGCCTATGGAATAGTTTTCCAAAGAAACTATTACTTAAAATTTAGAATTAGCCTAGTCAAAGCACCAGAAAACCTTACCTGATGAGAAGACTGCACTTGCAGAGGGTTTGGTTAAAGGGCAGTTTACTTCCCCTTCCCTGCCTCCGTTAGTTGCTATGACTAGATTAAAGGAACACATACTAATAATAGATTTTTATTTTTTTTTTTTTCTAGAGCAGAGAGAACTGGGTGTTTTATTACTGCAGTAATCACATTAGGCAAAGGTAAGATTTTTTTTTTCCCCTTCAGAGAGAGGAAAAAAAAGAAGACTGAACTGTTGCTGCGTGAACAGCAGCTATGAGGTGCAAAGTGCATTGTGCATGCCGCTGCTGTACCTCCTCCTCTGCAGGGCGCTCCCAGGCTCAGGTTGCCGTTCTGTGGCTGTGCCCAGTCCTAACCGTGCTTTAGATTAGAAAGCCAGCCAGTCGCTAATTGCATTTCACATTTAAGAACATAAAAACATCATGCTCTGGTCTACGCTTACAAAAATTCATTGCCAACGTAAATATTCCAGCACACAGATAAAACAGAGAATAAAATAAGCAGAAGTCTGACTTCTTCATCTGATTAGCTATCTGATCACCTCTCTGGCATGTTACAAACCTTTTTATTACTTAAATCTTTAAAGGCTAATACAAACGGGATCATAGCTCTAACCTAACAAAAAATGTATTCTCAAAACATCTGTCATTTGACTTTGACAAAACCAGATAATAGGTTTTTGTGAAAAAAATATTCCTAACTCTGTAGTAAACGATTTTCCAAAATGTACATTTAATCTTTGATAAGAACCCTGCTTCTGCACAAAGCAAGTCTTCTCTTAACAACAAATATTATCAAGAAACATTTTCCATACAGCTTTTGCAATGTACATAAAAGAAATAGAACCACTAGAGATTTGTTCTTACGCATTAAAGAGATATTAATGATTAATTTGCATGCTTTACAACTAAAAACTAGATCTGAATTGAGTAAGCTTTGATAAGAAAATTATCAATTAAAAGCTACCTAAAAAAAAAAAAAATGAAGCTGTATAATTTAATTGTAAGAACACTGGTTTTCACAGAATGGTTTGCACCACAACGGATGGAATTCAATACTTGGTTCAAAAGTCAGTTGATTTAAACATAAAATTTAGGCTGTTATCTTGCTTTCTGGACTGCTACAGTTGGGATGGGAATTAAACAGGCTGTAAAGAGGGTTCTGTTTCAAATAAAAGGTGCTGCCTTTTTATTACTCACTGCAGAGACTCCTGAAAACCAAGATTCATCCTGCATTTGGCTTCCCAACCCTAAACTTCCACTTGCTGTCCCATCCACATGTTCCCATGTTTTTATTTTCTTTGTTTCCTTAAAAGACCGTATTAGCCTCACTCCACACAGATCTACCAGTTCCATTATTTGACAGTTCATTCATTTTCTAGTTCAAAGTATTTCCTAAAATGCTTTCACCTTCCCTGCTTGCACATTATTTGCTAGGCAACCAGAGAAGTACCACCAAGAAGCAGAACAGATGGGCACGGAAGGAGGTAGTGAGAAGAAAGGAGAGCTCCTCAGTTTTCCTTCCATCTTCCCTGTAACTTCATGCGTGACCTTGGGCAAGCCATTTACTCCTCTTTCTCAATTTTGTAGCTACATACAGGGGTTCTTACCTGCCTTCTACATCTGTTATGATGTGTAGCAGAAATCAATCAAGTTCTTGAATGATCTCATGTACTGATCATTGTGGTACTACTTGCCCTTGCATCTGGGAAGCATTTACTGAATTTAAAGGTGAGCTGCTGAGATCTTACCATAATTGTGTTTCCTCAGTTAAATGTTATAGAGATATCTGTGTCATGTCATGACAAGAAAAATAACCGTAGAATGAGGATTGCTGGGTATGTTGGTCTAAAACCAGACTCTGTATCCCGCTGTTTACTCCGAGGAGATGATGGAACAGGGACAGGGCTGAAAACAGTGCTGTAAAACAGAATACCAGGCTGATGCTAAAAGGTGAAATTATCCAAGGCCAGCAGCTACCACGCAAGGGAGAAAGGCCTCACTTCAATTGGAAGAACTGAAAATTCACATCTCTAATTCATCCTTTCTTTTTTCTTTAGCATGGAAATAGAACCATTTTTTGCGCGTCATCCATTTCCAGCGAGGTTGAGGAAACCTCTTATACGTTAACCAAATAAAGTTGTCTGATGTAAATAATGCTCTCATTACCCCCAATTTTTTTTTTTTTTTTTTTTTTTTGCATTCACAGGTTATGACAAACTCGTATGTCATGTGTCCATTTTTCTCTGGGTCCCCCTCACAGTTAAAAGGAAGAGGGACACTTTCCAACACCAGCTCTCACTACGCACACGGAGATTAGTGCCTGCTTTTGCAACATGTCTGTTAAAGGAACACAATGAGTGAAAGACTGGAATGAGAAAGCCACAGCAACTATCAACACACTGTGCGTTCAGATTTTATAAAACTTTTTTTTTTTTTTTCCTTCTGTGCCCTATTTAGCTCATTGCTTGGCACTCTCTTACCCTTCTGTTGACTCATGTTATGATATCAGTTTCTACTAATTTTGTTCAGATTATGAGCCATATTTATGATCAGTAGAACAGCCACAAAAAAGTTTGCTAAGTGTTAGTGGCCTCTTACTCTGCAAAATTTGTATTGCTACATGGACATGTTATAACTGAGTGAATTATGTATTTCCCAAGCACATAATGTGGAATTTCGCATGGCCTCATCTACATGCCCTGTTCCTTTGTCAGTGCATAATTCAAAAGTAGGAGGAAGGAACATTTTACTTTGATGTGTAAGTACTCATCAAATGCATTGATGTTGCTGATATCTGGCTGTTTTATTAGATTTTTCAGCATTTAAATTCAAATTATCTGCATAAAAGCATTTGTGAGTGAAAAGCATGCAGAAGTTTTTTTAACAGAGTTTGTTCTTTTGGGCACATATATGCTAAGTTCTTAAACGACATGAACATCCACTGAACAACGTATTGCTCTAGAAGATTCTCGTTCATTTCTAAAAGAGTAACTACCATGTTTAAAAACAAAAATAATTTTGATAAATACTAACAGTTCACACTCTGAAAGCTTTCTGATAAGGAGCACAACTAGTCACTCCCCTTGGTATATAGAGTTTCTAATTTTCTGGCTTTTTTGATCTGAATCTATCTTTTTTTCCATCCCTTCTGTTACTTGGTACTTACATAGCATTTTCTTTTTTTTTTTTTTTCCAAAGCAGAGCTCAAACCCTCATTCTGAAGGCATTTCTAAGCAGTTTCCTGTGTCAGATATCCTGTCCTATTCTCCGAGTGCCATTTTCATAACTCCCTAAGGGCAGTTCATGAATGTAAGTAGGACAGAATGCATTTCCAGGAAATGGAAAATACTGACCTCTATTTCTCCACTGTGCTGAAAAGATTGGGATATTAGCATACTAACCCCAAGGCATGCATAATGTGACACAGGACTTGCCAGCAAAATACATCTATCAGTTTATAATGACAAAAATCCAGGCATTGGTGCATGATAATTAGAAAAAAAAAATCTAGGTATGAGAAATTCTGCGGTTTTTTTTCTATTGAAGTTTTAACTCTCTATTCTGTAAGCTTCAATCAGTTTAGGCATAGTCTTTGTGCTTTTGTCTTCATAAAGGCACACATACATTCATATATTTAATGCTACCATCTACCAAACAGAAGGAGAGCAGGAGGAAAAGAAAAAACATATTTTTATCTGTGAATATTTCTGAAGAATATGTAAATTCTGAAAACAACGCTTGATAGTGTAAGTTCCTATTACAGTATTTCTGTGTGAGAGATTGCACCAGAAAGAGAACACAGGTAAAGTTACATACAAGCAGGCATAATTTCATAAAATCTTCCCACCATTGCTCTAATAGTAACAGCAAAATAATCAACAATAGGAGGGCTGCTACAGCCTGCTACCAGCATTTTTAAACAATTCTGTCACCAATACAGAGTTAGATGATGGCTTTAAAGTGTTCTTGTCCAGAGCTGATCACTCATAGCTACAGCAGTGTTAAAGAAACAATGGACAAGTTCAGGAAAACATCAACATAGACTTAACAAAAGAAAATCTTTTAATCTTACATGACTTCTTGTCTCAAATGTTTGATTCTGTAATTTTCATATGTTACCATTAGGTAATTAAATATATCAAGCACTGATGTTGTTCTATTTAAAGTGTTTTTAAAAACTACATTTAATAGTCTGAAATGGAGTGGGAAAGAAAACTAATCTCCCCGCCAGACAAAGCTTCAAGAGCCCATCGTGAATGACTGCTACAGCCTTCCTGAAATGCCCACAACACACCTTGCTGTGCATCCGTATTTGTTAATCTGCCTTCAATATTTTCAAGAATCACTATCACAATGTTTTTGCTTCCTAAGTTATTTCTTATTTACCAAATTCTACCTCATGTGATCATCACCCCAACTGTTTTCTTTTAGCATTCACAGGTTATGACAAACTCGAATGTCATGTGTCCATGAGACAGGAAAGCAGACTTTCCTCATGCTACCTCTGCAGAAGTGAGTCTCATTAGTGATTTGACAGCTCAAGCCAGTCTTTCATACTTCAGATCTTAGTTCAAGTCAGGATCTGAGCTGTAAAAACCATTTTTCTTACCTTTCCATGCTGTCCTGCTCTTTCATAGCAGATTACTGCATCTTCCCACATTTCCAGCTCCTCGAATATCTTTAAGGCAGAGCTGGTGCATCCCAGCTCGAAGAGTAAGCTTGCGAGCTGACGCTGGAAAGAGAAGAATTCCAGGTAACTGACAACAGGCGAGTAAATACAACTTCCAGTTTTAAACGATGTTAGAGGCATTTCTGACATCAACAAGAAACAGACAGAGAATTTGGAATCACTCTCTTGAAACTTCAAGTTGGAGCCTTAAACAATGTATATACCTCAAAAAAGCCCTTCAACAGAACAATAATTGTTTTGATTTGACTTCTGTTCATGTCAGCAGGTTAATTGCTTGGAACTAGTTTATAATACAATGCAAAAATTGAAACAGACATGGAAGGATGAATTGGCAGAGCTGAACTCTGAACTTCCGCCCCTTAAATGAGGCGCATGGCCCATGCGGCTGGAGAGCAGCTGCAGCAGGATGTTGGGAATGATAAGAATGGGAAACAGAGCCTGAAAGAGGGTGTTCAAGCCTCTTCACACAATGCTTTGTCATTGCTATCTGTACCTGTGCAAACACAGATGGAGAGAAAGGCTCTGACACAATTTTGTTAGGTACTCATGAGAAATCACTGTCCCAAACAGCCACTGCCCAAAGGTATCAGTGTTTAGTCAAATCAATATTGGATCTGAGTTCAGGTTCAACTCCCTAGGTGAGTTTTCCTCACAGATGTCAGGCTCTTTGTTATTTCAAATTCGGCTATTATTTCAGTGTACTTATGAAAATAAATGAGTAATCTTTTTGATTTTAAAATAAACAAGGTATGTTTTGGTGACTTTGAAAAGTTGTCTTTGGTCTTTTGTTCATTTTTAAAGAAGAGATTAAAATCACATATAGGTTTTCATCTTTGAAGAAAGGATAACTTATTTACTATGTGTGGCACGTACAATTTGGTTTGCAAAAACAAATGGGAGCATTCTGTATGAGGACACCTAATTATACTGTAAGATCCCATCCAGTGAACTTCTGCAGTGGTCTTCGTTCACCTGAATGGATTCCCTGAATCTCTGCAGATGTCATGGACCTCTCTTTAGAGGCTTGGGTTCAGTATCTGTTACAAATCCAGGGAGTCACTGTACAGGAAGAGACTGGTAGTCAAACAATTAAGAACCGGCTACAGTTCTTTGATGTAAACGCATACCAAACTGAAAATCTGTAACAAAGTGATTATTTGTCAGTGTCTGGAACTAAATATGATGTATGTTTTATTAAATTTCCTCTGAGTCAACTTTGGTAAAATTTATACAGGCAATACCTCTTCATTACTGTGACTAGAAGACTGCAGCCATTTAGCATTTCTATCTTTGGCTTGGAAAATTGGCTTGGATTGAGAAGTGCCACTGATAACGGGCAAGGAAAACCACATTTGCTACTTTGCCAATGCCTGTTGAAAGGTTGTGTGGAATAATTGGAGAATGCTAGCAGAAGATATGATTGCTTAAAGCAACATGCATGGAGGTTGGAAATCAAAAAAGAATAAAAAAAACAATAAAAGTAAACAACACAAACGCCTTCAGAGGTATGTGATGCAAACAGTTTTCTTATGTTCATTAAATACAGCATCATCAGATAAGACTCTGATGTGCAGATTTCTGTTCTAGAAAGTCTTTATTGTGAAGATAAACAGTGTAGTTCTGGAAAAAAAAAATCCTGTCAGCAATAGTTAAAAGGGGCATGTCTTGAAAATAAAAGCTTTCTCAGCGTGAGTTCTTCAGTGTACTTTTGATTCCTAATTTGGCTGTTTCGACCATGATCCACTTCCTAAAAACAACCCAAAGTGAGACCATTAAAAGATGAGAAAGGTGTGAGTAACAGTAGCCTAAGTAAAACAGTAATAAATAGCGAGGCAGTGGCAAGACTATTTTTACAGGACATATGCTGGAAGCTTGAAAGTTTTGGTCCATTTTTTACTGAAGCAAAAAGTCAAGTAAAGAATTGCACTACAAGAAATTACTTCTGTGCGTGATAGAACAAGACATCTGAAAGTAAAACACTGTGGGACTTGATTTCTTTCCAGAGAAACCTGGTGTGTTGTCAGGTTATGTCTTTATTTTCACAGTGTTTCAACTAAAGATCGTATCCCACTTTCTTGACTTTGGAGTCATGCAGTATGAAAAATAGTAAGAACCACAGACTTGTAAGTAAAGCTTCAAATGGGATTGCATCATACCTGTATGGCCCAACGTGGAGGCACCTGGCAACAGTAGAAAATCTTCATGCGTTCAGATACCGATGTATTTGCATCTTCAAATTGGTCTGCAAGTGCCTGTAAATGCAAAGATTCTGATTTAGTATTGACTTAGACTTCATCAACTTAAAAAAAAATAAAATTCAAAGCATTCAGGATTTTAGGCATTCTTGACATAATGGAAAAATGATACTAAAGCTAACGCTAAATGCCAGTAAGCTTACACCACAGTGTGCTCCAAGTCCTTCTATTACCCCATGTAAGAAGATGTAATGAACATTTATTTATTATTATTACAGCTAATAAGAAATAAAAAAGTTTTGAAGATACATTAAAATTTGAAAGTGCATGTAACAGGAATAAGAATCAAATTTATGAACCCAGACAAACACTTGCAGAGTAAAACTGTGTCAAATATGAAAGTGACCTGGCCTAATGCACTGCAACCCTTTCGCTAGTTTTTCCCTAACAAAGTGCTTTCAACATGAAATTTATTATTAAAAAGAGAGAGAAAGACAAATGTATCACGGTGGACCATGCTTTTGGAAACAGTTCTAATACAGAATAAATTATTGGAGTACAATTAAATTCAGGCTTTCCTTTTTTTTTTTTTTTTTTTTTTTTATTTTGTTAGAGCTTTGAATTGTTGAAATGTTTTCTTCTGAAACCCTTTGAAAGAGAACCGTAACTCTTGCATCGCAGAAGTGCAGCAGCTTCAGCACTAGCTTTTTCTCTGAAAATCCACTATGAAATTATTTAAATCAAAATTCAATAGCAAGAAAAAATGAAATATTAAAGGTATCTATAGACAGCAAGTTGGTTAGAAATTTTAAGGTAAGGGAGAAACTGTTTTCAAATGCCAATCATCACTAAACTAAGAAATTTAAGGCCAGAGGTATAAATAAGGGAACATTAAATTACTTGCCTTCACATGATTCATGCAGCCAAGTCTCACATGTAACTTGGTCAAAGATTTAAGGAAGGAGCTAGGCAGGTTCTCAGAATTTTCTTAGCATGGAAAATGAATGCCAAGACTCCCAAACAAAAGGAAAAATGGGATAAGATCGCTCCTTTCTCTTTCTAAATCCAACTGCTAAGCATCTTGTAACTGCTGTTGATGTTAACGGGATTTATTAGATGCCTTCATTCTTTTAATAAGAAAAAAATCAAAATAGGGAGCAATAATTTAGGCTTTAAACCCACGTTTAACCTCCTAATTTTAAACAGTAATACTTAAAATATTCAATCTTATTCACATTCTCTCTCATTACATTATCTCCAGAGAACTGTTACTAGAGATTATCCAGAAACCTGCCCCAAGAAAATGGCTGAGCTATATTTGTGTAGTATATTAGTAAGGAAAGGAACAGACTAATAAAATAACATTCCTTTACACAGTTCCAAGCAATCCCAAAGGAGTCAGATTCAAATAAAACCTTTAAAGTAATATTATTTAATTACAGAATTTACTTGACTACGAACGATATAACAAGTCATATTTCACAGCTTTAGTTCTGCTGAAATGTTCTAATGCTATGCAGAATTACATTTTTCTATATTCTGGTGCAACAAAAAAGAAACTGAAAAATTTTCCAATTCCTTGGGTAATCATTTTACAAGACCAGGCGAAGTAGTAAACTACAGTTGGAAAATTTAAAAATAATAATCACTCTAAGCATGAGCAAAGCCAGAAAATCCTATGTATGTCCTGCAAAATAATTTATTGAGAACAGGAGATGGAAGGCAGAATATCTTTTAAGTCAATCAAAACATTTTGTTCTTGTTTTAGCTTTTTTTTTTTAATTTCTATTTTTCCAAAAGGAAAATTGTAATTGAAAGAAAAACAGCTTCTCAGAAGCAACATATTTTACTGGAAAATTTGTGGCTATATTTTTTCTATAGTTCCTAAGCAGAATAGCCTAATGTAAATGACATGTTATAGGAGAATATGACTATTAGCAAGGAGAATTCTCACCCTTCCCAAAACAAATACTGTTTTTTTTTCTGAGTTCCAACAAAAACTGAAAATATAGGTAGAATATATGAGTATTCCATTCCCTAAAAAGGTATAAATGCTAATGAACTTAAAAGTTACTAAAATCCATGGTTTATGCACTCTCTCATATCTTGAAAAAATAAGATCTGATAGTTCTGCCTACTAGTGAAATATAGAAAATAAGTTACGCAAAAATTGCTGAATTCTGTTCCTGAATTATGCTATGTACAGTGGTGAGAAAATTAGAATCCTAACCTCATTGCACAGCTAATACCTAATCACAGAACAATAAATCAATAAAATGAGCAAGACAGCACTGCCAAGAGAGCATTCTTTCTCATTAAAAATCTTCAAGATAAATATCGTGTAAAAAACCCCCTATATAAATATAGAATATTTGCAACACAGCGAAAAGACATGACTTGGTGAATTAGTTTAACCTGAGCCTCAAATTCCTGCCTTGAAAGCTGTTAAATAGAACTGCAGCAGAAACCACCTGAAATTCACAACTCTAAATGATACACCAGTTCTTCCATATGCAACATTTAAAAACATGAAGCTTAACAGATCACACCCCCCACCACGTAACACACCCCTTCCCTTGAGCTTGAGCTACCACAGACAATGAATTCTGAAATCAAAAAACACAGTACGGAGAGATAAACTAATCCAGTCTGGAAACAAAAATATAGATGGTTCTGATGGAATTTTATCTCATGAGCAAACACTACATTATTGCCACATGAAAGCAGGAAAAGACAACTCTAGAAACTACAATTCATTCTCCCAATCTCATACTTAAATCTTTGTTAAGAGATTAAGAAGTACAGTAAGTAGCCTGTGTTTGGGATCAGTATACCATGTTGATTTTAAGTTATCACATTAGAGCTTTTATCACTTTATCAATCAGCCTCGGTCTAACCACTCTACTAATCAAACTCAGCCGGTAATTATCCAGGATTCGAATACCTGAAGCGTGTAAAGGATTTTTTCCACCTTGGATATCACTTCCACACATTCATTCCTATTGCACATCCTTGCTTTGACTCTATGTTCAACACACGTATAACATCACTATGCTCCTGATGACAAAACATCAGCTTTGATTTTGAGCCTACCTAAATTTCAATCTCTTTATCAACTCCACATTTTTAATTGTCCTTTTCTTCTATGGCTGACAGAGTTAAGAGCTTTTTCTTTTTAGCCAGACCCCATCTCTGTCCTTAATCTCTGTAAATACTGCTACACACATATGGTTTCTGGTCACTGAGATGTCATTGTCTTGTGACGTAATGCTGTTTGATTTCTCAACCTACTTACTGGTCCGGGCAGCAGAGGGGAAGGTGCTGGTCTCCTCTTTCTGCTGACCAGTGACAGGACACAAGGAAATGGAACAAAGCTGCGTCAGGGGAAGTTCAGACTGGGCATTAGAATTGTAGAATCATTTAGGTTGGAAAAGACCTTTAAGATCATTGAGTCCAAGCATTAGGAGAAAGTTCTTCACTGAGAGGGTGGTCAGTCACTGGAGCAGGCTCCCTGGTGAAGGGGTCATGGCACCAAGCCTGTCAGAGTTGTCAGTCGTGTGGTTTAGTTTTAGGTATTCCCTCGAGGAGCAGGGAGTTGGACTCGATGATCCTCATAGGTCCCTTCCATCTTGAGATATTCTATGGTTCTAAGTCCTTCCATCAAAAGTTTTGTCCCTTCAGGGACTTTTTGCATCTGAAGTAAATAAATGGCAGATCTTAACATCTTTCTATTTTTAACCTCTTTATTCCAGATTAAATAGTTACTTACTTTCTCAAAAACATGCCCCTTACTATGCAAAACTGTATTTATGTGCAAACATTTCTTCCTTACATTTCATCTGAAGGATCTCCTGATCCAAGATTATTTAGGGAAAAATCCCCCCGCCCCCCAATAAACAAAAAAATCCCCAAATCCACGTCTTTTGAAAAGAGCAAGATGCTTATTACTTATTGTCCTGGGTCCAGCTGGGATAG